CAACAAAGCAAGACTCTGTGTCAAAAAAAAAAAAAAATTATGAATTCCAGGGAGGAAATACAGCAGGAGCAAAAGCTCGGAGGCAGGAAAGTGGGACAGACACTTTTGAGTCCCAGTGATACTTGCCGTGAAGCAGGAGCATAGGACGCCAGAGGTCACACCCATCCCTCCTAGCCCTTGTCTTGCCACCCTGTCACTGGTGTTCACTTCACTGCCTCCCCTGTTGGACTGGGAGCTCAAGGCACAGACCTCCCTTGGGCTTGCCTGTTGCCGTGGGATCCAGCACAGGTCTTGGCACATGACGGATACACGAGAGCAATGGCAGGCCTCAGCCGCCAGTCTGGAGCATACCTCTGTGGCTGCCACCTTGGTCTAAGCTACATTGTCTCTAGCCTGGATTATTGCAAAAGCCTAACTGGTCTCCCACTTCCCACTCACCCTCTCCCCCAGTCGTCTCGTTCTCAACAGCAACTGAAGTGAGCCTATAAAATTACAAGTCAGACCTTATCTCTCTGCCTAGACCCTTCCGTGGCTCCTGTTGTACCCAGTAAAAGCCAGTGTCTTACGATGCCTCAAGAGGCCCTACGTGATCTGCCCCCGCTCCAACTTCATCTATTCCTGCTCCCCTCCTCACTCTAGCCATTTTCTGTGCTTCAAACACGTTTGTCACATTTCTGCTTCAGGGCCATTGCGCTGGCTGTTCACTCTACCTAGACAGACACGCTTCCCTCAGATATCCACAACTCTCTCCTTCCAGTCTTTGCTCAGATGTCATTTCAGTGAGACCTTCTTAGACCCTCCTCTGTAAAATTGCAACCCTCCACCTGGCATTCCCTTTCCTGTTTCCCATTCTGTTTTTCTCCATAAAATATATCACCCTTCAAAATACCGTTCACCTTGTTTCCCATCGCACTCCCCACCCGAATGTAAGCTCCAGGAGGGCAGGAATTTTGCCTGTTCTGTTTCCTGCTGTATGCCCAGTGCCTGACACATAGTGGTGCTCAGGACATACTTGTTGACTGAGCGCATAAGTCACGTGGGCGACTGGGAGCCAGGGGGGCTTTGAGCAGGGTCTGTGTGGAGAGTGCATTTGAGGGAGAAGAGCCCGGGCGTTTGCAGTAATCCAGGGAAGAGACGGTGGGGCCTTTGGCGGGGCCATGGGCTGGGGACCCAGAAGTCTTCCAGGGAGTGAGTCTGAAATGCCGATCCCTGCCTGCCCCCCGCAGCTGAGTACCAGAAGCGAGAGTGTCGAGACCACCTCAGAGAAAACGTGAAGTTTATGACCAGTGGGAGAAGCACGGTGGCTGAGTCCGTGACCCAGCAGGTTTGTGGGGGCGGGGACTGGCCCACGGGAAGAGAACTGGGGGGTGATAGCGGGGCTTCCCTAGGATCCGCCAGGGTCTCAGTGCTGAGCATAGGGTGGCAGTCAGGCCCACCCCTGAAGGGCAGAGTAGGGGTGGCGGGAGGCTGGCCCTGCCCTGCCCAGTGCCGCACTCCCCGGCCCCATGTGGGCCTGTTTGCTCTCCTGTCGGTGGAAATTATGTGCCCCCGCTCCCGTACCCGCCAGATTCTGCGCCAGAACCGGGGTCGCAAGGCCTGTGACCGGCCTGTGGCCAAGACTAAGAAGAAGAAGAAGGCCGAGGGCACCGTGTTCACCGAGGAAGACTTCCAGAAGTTCCAGCAGGAATACTTCGGCAGCTAGGCTCCCTGGAGTGCGCAGAGCAAGGGCCCAGCCGCCTGCGCCCCGGCTGCCGCTGCGTGCGCGGCCCCCGCGTGCCATGCGCCACAAGGCCAGCAGAGGGCGGTGCGGGGCCGGCCTGGCTCGAGGAGGCCCTGGAGCTGGAGCCGGGTGGAGGCTGGAGTGGAGCTGGCGAGGGGGAAGTCCTGGGGAGGATTTCCACTCAGACCGGAGCGGACTTGTGCAGGCTTTGGGGGAGCCATCTGCACCTGCCAGAACGGAACGTTTCTGACTGTTTTGTTTGCTTTTGCCCAGGTAGGGCCTCAGGGCTGTTTGCTGTGGAGCAAGGCCAGTCACTGGGCCCTCGGGGGCCACACCTCCAGAAGCAGGAAGAAGGCTTCTTAGTAGCTTCCAGGTCCTAATAAATGTGGACCCAGGAGCTGTGTGTGTGCTGCTGATCTGACTTACGGGGTGTCTCCATCTCCTCTTGCCCCAGGGGCCACCCTCCCGGCCTCCGTCTCCCAGCCCAGGTCTCAGAGCTCTGGGCAGAAGTCCTCCAGCCCCAGCAGGTGGCCATCCACGCAGCTGTCCACCCAGCCTCTGCTGACATGCCCCAAAGATACCTTCCTCTCCCATGGGTGGCAGCCACAGCTGAGAAGGTGGCCCGTGAAGCAAAATTAGCCCTGAGGGCTTTGTCCCAGGGAAGCAGACCCCAAGGTCAGGGGCCAGTGGGGGTGGTACTGCTTCAGCCCTCCCCTGGGGAGCATGGGGCTTGCCATTAGCAGAGAGGTTCGGACAGTGGTGGGGCTCCTGCCCCCAGCCCCATCCCCGCCCCAGGCTTATGCTCCCCTGAGCAGCCGGGTGAGGTCAAACGCCTGTCCCATGTGGGGGTGTTCACACTCGGGTGTGCGCCAAGCCGAAGGGTGGTGGTGAGGGCTGTGGCTGCACCACCACGGGAAGGCAGGCTAGACCCTTCCCAGGAGGCACAGTGTGGGGAACAGAGGAGGTGAAGGACAGGTACGTGTTGAGTGACCACGTGAGTGAATGAATGGTGCAGACCAGAGTCGGTCTTCAGTGGAGGAGAGACGATAGCAGAAGCCCGAGTGGTCTGCCGCTGGTCTCTAACCATGTTCCATCTGAAGTGGGGGCGGGAGGGGCCGCAGGGCTGCTTGAGGCAGTGTTGGAGTCGGGGGCCCGTTCAGGTGGCCTCCATCAGCATGGGGAGGGGAGTGTTCTGTGACCCCAAACTATAGCGACCAGGACCTTCCTCAGACGGGCTGTTCCAGTTCTCCACGCTCTTCTCCTGCTGGGCTTTAATGACCCGCTGGGGAGAGACAGACTCGGATATCCTTGGAGACTCATTCCCTTCATCTTCTAAGCAGCTTAGCAAGAAGCCGACCCAGCCACTGGCGCCAGGGCCGCTTTCTAACAAGGACACGCCTGCCGCTACTAATCACCTGCGTGTTCCTGCTGCTCCCTGCTCAGGAGTTTTCCAGTAAATCTCACATTTGTGCCAGGTAACACTGGTGGGTGCGTGTCAGTGCCCCCTGTGTGTGACCAATTAGTGTTCACCCTGGGATTCCGGGCCAGTAGGTCAGGGGTGGGGCTCAGGGACCTATTTTAACGATCACCCTGGGCAATTCCGGTAAGGGAGGCTGGCGCAGGCACCTGAGGGGAGAGGGCGAGTCGCTGTGGGTGGGGGAGATGCTGACCGTGGGCACCAGGACCTCGTGACCAACAGGGCCAAAACAAGAGGATGCCGAGTTGTCATGTTCAAGCCAGGGCTGAAAGAACACGGCAGGAGGAAGCCTTCCCCGATGAAGACGTGGGTGGGCATGAGCAGCACCTGGAGGCCTGTGCCTCTCGGATGCTTTGGGGGAAGGGACGGATTTGGGTCCAGCTGAGCAGAGTTTGAGGAACCTACACTGTGACCAAGAGGAAGGCCCCAGCCAAGGCTTCCTGTGTCTTCCGCAGTAGGATGGTCCGCTCGAGCCCCCCTGACCCCGATCCCTGGCCCTTTTTGTGACTGAAGGTGTTGGCCAAGGGGGCCGGGCAGGAGTGGGGCAGGACTGCCACCTGGGATCCCACTGGGGCCCAGCTGCAAGCTTCACCGCCAGCACGCCAGCCCTGCCGGAGCTTAATCCTAGTTCCAGCAGAGGTGGGCAGGTCCCCGTTAGATGACTTCCTCCAGCCGGTAAAGCCCCCTGGGACAGGCTAAGTGTGGCACTCAGGGCGTGTGCCCTGTTCTTTCCTGCCTGCCTGTCTTTCCTGGGGTGCTCTCCCCATTCTCTCTACGTCCACAGCTTTCCCCACCTTCAAAGCCCAGCCAAGAGGCCCTGCTTCCTCCACCGAGGTGTCCGAGCCTCGGACAGCCTGTCTCCTGAGCTGCCGCTTTCTGCTTGGTCGGAGCCTGCACCGGGCTGAGAGCTCCCCCACCTCCACAGGATGCCTGGGCAGGGGTGCTTGCACCGGGGTGTCACTGCAAGGACTTTCTGCCTCCACACTCTACATCTGCCACCTCGCCATCTCCACCTGGATGTCCAAGAGGCATCTCCAACAACGGGCCGAGACTCAGCCTACCCTCTGCCAGCATAAAAGGGTTGAAATAAAAATCCTGCTCCTTCCTGAGATGATTTCCCCATCTCAGGAAGTGGACCCTGTGTCCTTCCTCTTGCTCGGGCGTCTCTCACACCCACATCCTGGCCCAGCCCTGCCCAGCCTCCCCACGCTGGGGTCACTCCCAGGCCTCCCTGAGCACCCATCGTAAAGAGCAAATCTTCCCACCCCGTTCCAAATGCCATCTCACATCCGATAGCTTTCTTTAGGGTCCAGTGGTCTTTCTTTAGGTGTTTCCCTTACCAGAATGAAAGCTCCTCGAGGGCAGGGACGTTCATCCGTTTTGCTCGCTGCTGTATTCCCGGCACCCAGACTGTGTAGCAAGCACCCGGTGGGCACGCATGAATAGCTGTAGGAAAAGTGAAGGCCATTCTCTGCTCTCCACAACCTACAGCCTTGTCCCAGAGACAAAACAAGAGAGAAATGTTGACAGCTGACAGCTCTGGCCTCTGCAGGGACAAGATCTTGGCCTTGGTGCTGAGCCAGGAATTTTGGCCACTTTTGGGTGCCCGGCAGGAGCCAGGGGCTGTGATCACACCCTCCTGCCCCGCTCCCCAGCCACTGGTCACAGAATGTGAGCCCAGCCCCACCTCTGACCTGGTCACCCTAGGCCAGGCCGGCCAGGTTCTGGCAGGGAACACAAGTTGTTACATGCAGGGTGGTGACTGGTCATCCCCACACCGTCTTCCTGTTTCCCTAACTCCATGCTGGGCCCTCAAGAACAGACACCCTGCGCTGCTCAGTACAGCCTGTCTGTCCAGGCCACTCTCATTGCCTGCATCAGCTGTCCCTCGGGCAGCGTCCACCCCTAGGCCAGACATCCCACGGGAGGACCTGAGCCTGGGCTTCAGCTGCGTCAGGAAAAAGCCCCTGCTCACGGTCTCCCAGGAGGATTCTGAGCTAATCGCTGGAAGCACTTAGAGCCTCAGAGCTCTGAGTACTATTAGCTGCGGTTGCTATTTGCCAGGCGCGGTTGCAGTCCTGGACATACGGGAATGAAGCACACAGCGAGTGTCTGCTGTCACAGCGCCACTGCAGTCGGGGAATGGAAAATAGGAAATAAACCTGTATACAAATAAGTTCAACCAGAGAAAAGAGTATGAAGGCAAAGCAGAGAGTCTGGGACACTAGCTGGGTCACTTGGAAGGCCTCTCTGGGGTGACATTAGACTGCACAGAAGGAAGGCAGCCGAGAGGAGACTCTCAGGCAAAGGGAACGGCAATCACGAAGCTTCTGAGGCGGGAACAAGCTTGGCAGAGAGGTGCCGGCCACCGCTGCAGCACAGTGAGTGGCGGGGCCAGGGGCAGAAGGGCAGAGGCCGAGCGCAGTCTGTGACCTGAGCCGTCTGCGTCTGGGAGGCCTCTGCTGCAGGGGCCTAGAAAGGGCACAGCCCACCATCCTGGCTCCATCAGGAGCCCCCCGCCTGCACTGCCCCTCTCAGCGCCTGTTTCCTGTCTGCCAAACCAGAGTGGACTGTCTCCAAGGGAGGCCCCACATTGGTACTGGATGGCTCTGGTGCTCTTAGCCACACCGTAGCACCTAGATAGTCCATGATGTGCAGGAGGCCCCGTGGCCTTTGCGGATTTCTAGAATCTCAGCAGCAAAGACCTCGAAGATCACCAAGTCCAAGGCCCAAGTGTGACGCCCATTCCCTTTTCTGCCTGGGGGGCAAGGCAATGTTCTCCCGGGTTTATTCATTTCTTCAACAGTTGGCTCTCAGGTCTCAAGCTCTGCTGGGCACTGGGAACGCAGGTTTGTGGCCCTGACAGGCCACTTGTTTCTAGGCTTGAGGCAAAATAGAAAAGAGCCCAGACTCTGAAATCAAGAGCCCTGGGTTCACACCCAGCTCTATCCCCCACGCGCCCATTTCCTGACCTGTTGGATAGGGCCATTGTGGCCCCCACCTCACGGGCTGGTGGGGACTGGGCAAAATGCACGCGCAGTGCTAGGTTACTGCAGCGCCCAGGCTGCACTCACCACTCTCCTCCCAGCCACTTTCCGGACACTGCTCTGTCCACACCACCTTTCCCAGAAGGTCCCAAAGGACACCTGGGAGAGGGTACCTGCCCAAGCTGGGCTGATTCTTGCACTCAACCATTTATTCCTAAGCCAAAAGGAATTGTCTGCCCCATCTTACAAACAGGAAGTCACCCAGGCAGGAGTGCACCATTGCAATGAAGTTGCACACTTCCTAGGCCCTGCTCCATCCCAAGATCCCCCAGATGGCAGGCATTCCAGCTGGTCTAACTGGCTGACAGCCATTTTAAAAGCCTTCACACGAGGCCCACCATTGGTTCATCTTTGGGGCCCACCCCTGGCCACAGCCTGCACAGGCTGTCATGCTTCTACTCCAGAGGGGCAAACCAACACCTGGCAAGTTTCAAAAGGAGCCATTTTTCTCCTAGGACCCTACAGAGCCATAAAGGCTTATAAGTAAAACCTAATCTCATGTGCCAAGCTCAAGGACTTATCCAGAGACTTACAGGAGAGATGTTGGCACAAAGCCATCTTGAGGGAACAGGTGGGGCCCAGGCTGTTCTTCCCATCCAGCCACTTAAAAGCCCTCAGGCTCTCCGACCTCCTCCCTACCACAACCAGCTCCCAGCTCCAGGCCCAACTGCCCCTGTCCTCAATTCTAGGGAAGCTGTCACGACCCACACCTCAGGGAGGCTGAACAAAACCCACTCTGGGCTCAAATTTTCAGTGCTGAAGTCCCCTCTCACATGGCAGGTCCAACTGGAGGACAGCAGTTCTTAGGTTCTTTAGCAGAAGCAAGACACTACACACCAGATGTGAAGTACTTCCACTACAAAATAATTTATTACAACACACAGCTTCAGCACAGAGACTCCTATATACAAGCACAACACTCCTGACTACCCTAACTAGGGAACCTTCTTTTTCCCCCTTGCCTTGCGGACCTCTTCAATCAAATCTTTCAAATATTGGATCTCCTTGGCCAGGGCATCCGCCTTCTCTTTCAGAGCCTCATTCTTCTTCTCCAGCTCTTTGCACTCGCCAGCAAGGGCCTCCTGCTCTGCCCTCTTCTTCTGGCGGTATCTAGTGGCCGCAGTCTTGTTTTGCTCCATTTTTTTCAGCTTCTTATCCAGCTTCTCCCCCTTTACTTTTGCTGCTACCATCTTCTCTCCAGGACGGTTGTACGGTTTGGGGCGGGCAGAGCCACAGAGGACACCTGGAGATGGCAGGCTGTTTGGAGAGCCACTGGTGGTAGAGGGGCTATGCTGGGGAGAGCCCAGATAGGACTCCGGGCTCATACAGACACCACTGTCGTTATCTGAGGGGGTGTCTTCCTCCTTTACACACTGAGGAATCAGGGTAATGTAAGCGCTGGAGTCTGACTTCCTATCTCCTTCAGAGATATCCACTTCACTGCCCAGCTCTAAACTAAAGGAATGATCTGGAGTGGAGGACAGGATCCCTGGGAAAAGGGGAAGAGGTTGCAGGAAGGTAAAAGGGGCAACCTGGTCGGCTTTTGTTAAACTTTCTGGAAGATGGCCAATTGGGTTCACTGTCTGGGGGGGCTCCTTATTAGTCTGCTGGACTAAGGGGGCAAAGAGATCACCCGTGTCATCCAACGTGGCCAAAAGCTCATCTGGCATGGTTTCCAGGTCATCTAAATTCAACAGGGCATCAAAGTCAAACTCCTTCAGATCCATTTTCTCCAACATCCAATCTGTCCCGGAGAAGGCATCCTCTGCAAAAGATTTCACAGTGATGGAACCAACTGAGTCAAATACACAAAGCAACAAATTCCTAATCGCAGACCCCACGCTGACAGATGTGGTGGTCCACTCACCCTTGCCATTGTTGGAGGCACTGACCAACCCATCCACAGCCAGCCATCCGGAGGAGCCCGCCTTAGCCTTGTCGCTGGAGAACCCATGAGGTTTGAAGTGCTTGGCCACCTCCAGGTAATCATCTAAAAGATCTAGACTCTCTTCAGCCCCCAAACCCGACTGGTCGAAGGGGGACATCAAGTCCCCCCCCAACACCTCGCTGCTCAGGAAGCTCATCTCGGTCATGTTGCAGTGCTTTGCTGGAATCCAGGAATGTGCTTAATTCAAAGGTGTCTTTGTCGGTTACAGCAACGCTGCTGCTGGATGCTGTGAGAAACCTGAAGAGGAATCAGAAGCCAAGTCCCATTAGAGGTTAGCTAGTTTAAGAGTTTCATCTTTTTACCCATGAGGCAGGACGACCAAATCGGAACTGCACCTGGTTGCAGAGAACCGGGGGGGCACGTGGCCCCAGAATCATTGTTATCAACTTTCCGTGCTTCCGACTGGGGTTGCACAAAATGGACGCCCACGGAGACCCGGCCATCCCTTAACCAGCGACCAAGAGAAAGACACTCCGTCCCCGTGCCCAAATACGGCCACGCCGCCGCGCCCCGCCCACCGCCCGCCGTGACTCACGCCCCCACTGCCGCAGCCACCGCCCCATCGCCGCCATCTTGGCTCCTGCCACGTTTCGGGGGTGACAGCCGGGACCCCAGGCGGGCTCGGGACCCAGAGGGCGACGGGCCCCCGGGGAAGCAGCCCCCGGCGCCGGGCTGCGCTCTCCCGACCCGGGAACGCCCGCGTCTCGTGGACACCCGGAAAAAGGCCACGCGTCCCGGGCGCTCGTAAAACCGCTTCCCCCCCTACCCCCGGCGACGCCCGACCCCAAGCCGCGCCCAACCAAGCAGAAATCCCCCCGCCGGCCCACCGCTCACGCCCAGGGCGGCCCGACCCCGGTACTCACGCCATGGCTTAAGCCGCTGGGGGTTGCCGCTGCAGAGCCTGGTGCTGCTGCCGCCGCTGCAAAGGCCAACGCTGCCGCAGGCACTGCTGCCTCTAATACGCCATGGTGGCCCCGGACCCTGCGAGAGGGGAGGAGGAAAGGCGCGCTTCGCGAAGGAAACTACATCTACAGGCGGGCAAAGCAAAAATGGCCGCGTCGCGCCGTCCGCGGGCCCTTTATAGACTCCTCCTCCATTGGGACGCACCACAGAACGCATCCTTCCGCCGCGGCCACGTGACCCTCACCTCCCGCCCTCACGTTTTCCTCTCTGACACCCCCCACCGTTTATGTGCCGAGCGACCAGTAACCTCCTATCGGGGCATAGCTGTAATGAGAAAAGGAGGTTGTTTTCAAGGCCCCATGGAAGGAAAACGGTGTACTACTTTTCAAGATTTCAAAGATCAAAGAGTCACGCTCTTCCCCTTGCCGCCCGGGAGCGCGGAAGGATCTTTCGGACACGCCTCACTTCCGGTGTGAGCTTACAGCGCGAGGGTAGAGAAGGCGCATCCCAAGGAAGGGTTTTATTGTGAAGCCCTGGACCCCAAGTTATCGCGCGAGGTGCTGGCGGGGAGCGCGCGTCGAGCTGATTGGTCCAGGCACAGTGAGTCATATATAGTTTGAGCTTCTATTGGTTCGGTACCCTCGGCGGGCGGGCCACTCGGGAAAGAGCCCAGGGTCTGCGCGGGAAGAGACGGGGACGCCAGGAGATTCCCGCCGCCGGGTTCAAGTCTGCCGCACCTTGTCGGAGGTGCCCCGGCTGCAGTGGCCTCCTCAGTCCTACCCGCCCGCTGCGCGGCCGCGACTGAGCCGACTCCTGTCTACGGGCAACTCTAGCCCAGCGCGCCCCAAATAGTGGTCTCCGGGCCGAGCTTCTGCGGTCCCTTACTGTCGTCCTCAGTGAAACTTCGTACTGGCGACCAGAACTTCCAGGTCCCAGTTCCTCCGCCCCTCCCTCGTGTGCTCTCACTTCAGTACCGGTTGACTTCCGACCTGGGAAGTTCCTCGGAAGTCACCTGGTTCAAGCCTTCGTTTTTTAGGGCGGACCCACCGCGGGCAGCTGGCTTGGTCCCCCATAAACACCATAAATAGCGAACACAGAATTGCCCCCAGGAGCTTTGGGGACCGTAGCTGGAAGGGAAGACTGGGAGGGCTCCCCATTCCTGCCCACCTCCCAGTAAAGGGCAGCTCTGTCTACGTCCTTCTACTGAACTCTGTATAGTCGAAAGTTAAAGATGCACAGTCCTATTGCCCAACCTGTATTTTTATAATACTCATCCTGCTAAAATACAAGCTTGTTCTATTAAAATGCAGTCTGTCATAAGGGAACTTCTTTTGGTTTATGTAGGTTTGGTTCGCCAAAAGAACAAGATTTTATTCAACTGGCATCTCTCTAGGGTAGTTTGGATTAACTCCCAATTCTGTAACTCCTGGGTCTAACTAACATCCCAGCAAGTCATCCTAAGGCCCCTGTGAGGAGACTTCGAAGCTTGAGAACCCACGTCCACTTGCAGGGGGTGGCCATGCCTGGAAGCGGTAGTCCTGGTCAGGGCCAGCTCTTCAACATCGCAGGAGTTCGAGAACTCTTCATCATCGCAGTCCCCTCCAATATCAGACCCTGTAAAGGTAGAAACCCTGGTGTTTCCACCTCCATTGGAGTGGGCCATACCACTATCATTTCCTCTGATATCAGTCAAAAAACTGGGAAAGCACTGCTCTAGGTAACTGTAGACTGTTAGTTGACTTGATGCAATCTAGCCCAACAATCTTACAGTGGTAACCCAGGCCCAATGGAATCAGGTGCTTTGCTCAAAGTCATGTAGCTCCCAGTGGAGGCAGTATAGGGTAGGAATTAGAAGACAGATTTGGGGAGCAAACCCAAAAGAATCCTGGCTTTATTAGCTGGGACACTTTGGCTAAGTGACTTACCTTCTCTGAGCTTCAGTTTCCTCATCTGTAAAATGAAGCTAATAATGCGTATCCATGTCCTAAGAATGAAGTGAGATCATATACGCAAAGCGCTTAGCACAGTGCCAGGAAAATGTGCCTAGTAAATGGTTGCCAGTTACTATTACTAGAACTCAGGTCTTCTGACCCTGACCTCCTAATCCCCCTGCCCTTATCTCCATTACATCATCCTGTTTCCTCAGAGTACTCTTCACTATTTGCTGAGATGAAACCAACAACTATAAAATAACTGGTTACCAAGAAGAGGAAGCCCAGAAAAAAACCGAATAAAATAAAATAAAATAAAATAACTGGTATACACAAGGCATACTGGATGCCAGGATAAAAATCTTGTTTTTCTTTCCCCTTGAGACATCATGAGTGTTGAGATATACACAAGTTGTCTAGACTTTCAGAACAAAGGCAGTAAGAATCCCTGAGCCATTACCCATGGCAGAGGAGTAACTAAGGACCCAAGGGGCATGTCCTCCTTTTGCTCTGTCAAGAGACTTGTCAATGTGCCTGGCAGATGACCATAAAAATGGTTGAGAATTAAAGAAAGCAACACTGCCCCAGTTCTGACACTGAAGAGGTCATGGAATAATGACTCCAGTGGCAACTTGTCCCATCCATTCTTTTATGGAGACCTAGGTCAAACACTTCAAAGGTTTCCCTAGCTGAAAGGGAGACCCAGTACCACTCCCATAGGAAAATGTTTCATACCACACACAAAGTCAAAGCTGTTGGAAAGGAAATTTTTATTTTCTTCCCATGCTGTGGAAGGACATTGTGTTCCCCAGTTTTATTTCCTCCTTTAAGGAGAAAAATAGTTATCTGGGTCTCAGGGCTAAGCTGCTCCTTTATGGACCGAACCAAGACAGGACAGAAAGACTGGTGACTGATTCCAAATCTACCAGCTAACACATCAACCACCACTGAAGGGCAGGCAAGTGACTAGAAGGCAAGTTGTGGACTTGGCCACAGGGACCAAGAATTTAAAGACTACGAGGTGATCAAAATGAAGGTGAACGACACCCAGGATGCAGGTGACCACAGAACCCCCATCTCTGGTATTTTGGCCACTTATAATAAGTACACTCTAAAAGGGCTGCACATCCTGGCCTGGTATAGGGGTCAGCTCTAATCCTAAGTGTCTCTTACCATTCTCCTTGGCCCAGGCAAAAAGGCAGAGTTCTAACAAATCCTCCAAGAGCAGAACTTCTCAGCCAAGTCACAGTCTGAAGGAAGTACCATGGCAGAGAGCTTGGGACACATGCAGGGACCCCTGTGTACAGAATCCTCTCAGGGCCTCTCCAGGATCCTGAGCTGATTCTTCACCAAAACCATTTGCGCTCTCAATTCGAGTGGAGCGCACGGGAGCAAAGTCGGCTAATTTGGCGTGTGAACAGGTGGGCTACCAGGGGCTGAGACCCAGGAGACTGTGGCCTCCTCAATACAGCTTTTCCAAACATGAGCTTCCACATTTTGTTAATTTTTTTTTCTTGTCACAACCAAGCATTTAAAGTGAAATACTGTTGTCCCGAACTCATCTTCTAGAAAGGGGCAACAGGAAGGAACCAAAATAAATTCTGGAAATTTATTAGGCTTAAGAGGGATGAGTGTATATTTTAAGCGTTAGGCTAAGTATGTGGTTTGCTAACCTTGATGGTGCAAGAGAATCTCCAGATGGGAGCAGACGCTATTACTCCAGGCAAAAGTGGGCGTGTTACTGAACAGGAAGGCAGAATAATGGAGAAAGCCACTGCATCTTTCCTTCAAAGATTAAAAAAATGGGGGGCAGGGTGTAGAATATTGCCCCCTCCCACTCAAGAATCTCAAAGCACCTGGCTACTGGCTACCTTCCAGATTTTATGAAGAAAATGGCAGCAAAAAGAATGGCTGGCTCAGTCCTGGTCAGCAAACCCCCTCAGAACCAGGGCTGGGATTTCCCACTGCTTCTCATTCTCAGGACTTCTAAGAAGTTCTTGCTTATAAAATGGCAAAGTTACAGTTTTGGTTTTATGAAACATAGTTAAAAGTCAGAGATGCTCTTAGAAAGATGCTCTTTAAGAGAGGAGATGAACTCATTTCCATTCCTAAAATCAATTACACTTGGCTTAAATAACTTAGGACTCTCTAAAGGGTCTTTAAAATCTTTTCTTTTTTGAGCTTTCCTTCCAACATTTTATTAGTATGTGGAATTTGGTCAGGGATGCCAGCTTGGGAAAATTGTAAGTTTTATAATACTCAGGGCAGGGAAACCAAATCCCTTATCTCAATGAATAATTATATATCCTTTTGTAACATTCTATGAATCCTCTCCTCTCCCTTCCCTCTAACGGACACCAGGTGGGTACATCGGAACCCACAATGTTGGGCTGCACCCCATACCCTGGATACCATTCATCAGGGTAGTAACTCAGGCATATATTAATAGGTTTTCGAATTTCCATTTGATTGTGATGAACAGCCAGGCTAGAGAATCTCTCTCGAGGTTCTTAGCTTTATCTTTTTCCTTCGCTCTCAATACCTTTATACAAATGAAACAACTAACCCACATTAAGGAATCCTTGCATGTGTATACATATATATATATATATATGTGAGAAGAGGCAGAAATATCTCTAAATGTAGTCAGGGTTAACCCAAGTTCTCAGCCTAAGCTATGACAAAAGGGGAGCAGGAATCTCTACCCTAAATTCAGAGGGCTGCTGAGGTGGCAATGCTATTTAAAGAGTCATTTCCTGACACTGTCATTGGGAAGGAATGAGGCAGCTGCTGAGAGCTTCACCAAAATCCCACTGATGGAGAGGTAGTAAGAATAGAAAAATAAGACGACTTGATGTGAGGAGAACAAATACTGGATGGGCAGATGAGAAACAGAATTATCATCAGCCTCTTGCCACAAACAGGAAAAAAACACAAAACAAGAAGACACACTGACACGGTGCATTAAACAATTCCTCCCCACCTTCAGGGTATGTTTACACTGCAATAGTGCAATTTTAGCAGCAGGAAACAAGAAGGAACATAGGAAGTATCCACCTCCCTCTCATATGTTTTATCCATGTGCTCTCTTCTTCCTAGGTAGCACTGATCTCCCCAGGTGCTGGGTGGGAGACAGGACAAGGGGGAAGAGGTCTGTGCATGTCCACTTGCCCTCTAGCCTCTGGTGGTGCCTGAAGAGCTCAGTAAGCACCCCTCTCTCGTTCCTATGGCAGACACTGGCGGATGAAGGGCTGGCCACTGGGCCTGTTCTTGCTCTAATACAACATCCTAGAAAAGCAGGGCCTGTCAAGGGAGAAAACATGGTCACCAAGCCCCAACTGGTAACTGGATTTTCCAGCTGACATTAAGCCTCCTGGTGACCTCCTTCAACCTCTACTGCTAAGCCTGTGTTCCTTCCAAGGCCTTGTCCTAATTGGCAATAAAGCAAGGGATGAAAACCAGCATTTCTGGTGAGGTGCTGCCCTTGCAGCCCCCGTCCCTTCCTTGTCTGTCCAACCCCTGCAGCTATAGATACAGATGAGGGGTGGACACTGGGCACACAAACCTTCCACCAGCTCCTCTTAACCAGCTCTGGCTCCCCTACTGTGTACTCTCGCTGATGACCACTAAGAAACACCAGCTCCAGATAACTTTGCATCCAGTTTATCCTGTAAGTCAGTAAGTGTTCCCATGAGAGACACTCTCAGCACTTATGAATGAGAGTTGGTCAGGAGATGGGGGGAATGGACTTCTTTTCCAGGAACCAAGGTCAAAGGCCAGCTCTTCCACCAGTGTGATCCCCAGAAACCCTGAATACTGTCTCAACACTCACTCTGCAGAGTTCAGCTTAGAAACATACAGTCATAGCTTTTCAGTGACGTTTGACTAAAAGGCAACATCTTAATTAGGCAGACATGCTCCAGGGACAAGAGCAAAACAGAAGGCATGAACAAGAGAGTAGACAGAAAAGACACTGAATAGGACAGGCAAAAGGGCAGGGCAGAGCAGACAGAAGCAGGAAACTGGGCCACAATGCAAAACACCGAGTGGTCTCATCAGCTCAGGCCAGCACTCCACCTTCTCAATTCATTGCAGAAAAATTAGCCTGGAGCAAGGTGGGGTGAGTAGGGAGCACAGTGTTTGGTAACAAAAATAGAAAGTGTTGGGTGAGAAATTAGGAGACTAAGAGATGTCATTCTAATCAGCATGAAGTGACCAGGGTGATGACGCAAGATAGGAGGCACCTAGGGACCCTGTGAGGCACCAACTATGTAGCCAAGAATGTCTAACGGAGAATCCAGGGCCTGACCACCTGACACCTGCTTTGGCCTTCGCCTGCCCTACATCTGCAGCAGCACCTCCGGCTCAGACAATGAGCAATAGAGAGTATAGCCCAATTCGTCTATTTCTTCAGGGGTGAGCTCTGCAAATAAGTTCACCTTGGGGTTTAGGGCACTGGGCAGAACTCCAGCCTCTAAGTAGCTGATGAGTCCTCTCAGGGCCTGCAGGAAACGGTCGGCCAGCATATCTGGAGACCAGTCAGCCTCCTCCTGGGCCAAGTGGAGGATGACGTTGGTGAGCTGGCTGGCAGTGAGGTGGCCCAGAGCTGGACGGGACTTGCATATGGCCTTAAGGATCTTGAGGCACAGAGATCGGCAGCCCGAGTCAGCCTGGTCCAAAGCCCGCAGGCGTGCCGTCTCGGCAGGACGCAGGCTCAGCCGCCACAGGTTGTCATACTGGGCTAGCCGGTGTGGTCTGGCCACCAAGACTGTGTCACCAAGGGTCACCGATGGCAAGAAGTCAATGACAAGATGCTTGTCACGCTCATACTGCACCTCTAGCGTCAGGGCCTCTGGGGATGGTGCTGGTCGGATCACATAGTCCAAGAGGGACCCGATGGCTGGCCAATTGATGGAGCCAGCCACTACCTTCTCAAATGTGTCTGCCACCGTCTTTGGGGAGAGGTAGCCCCCTACTACACAGCGGTCCCAGTAACTGCTACCGCGAGGAAAGTACTCTGGATTTTCACGACGAACCAGGAAGAAGCCAGGGATGTTCATGATAGTGTCCTCACCAGGGATGCAAGACCATAGGTTCTGCTCCAGCACAAGGGGCACGATCAGTTGAATGTGGTCAGCTGTCACTACCTGTTGGAGCAGAATTAAAAAGATTTTGAGGGGTTTACTCTGCTCAAGAGACGTGCTTTCCCAAACACAGGTCCCACCATCTTGCACTCCCCCAACAAGAACGGAAATTAAGAATTCTTTCATGGCAGAGTGAGAAAACTAGACAGAGATGGGGACAAGGATGTAACAGCTTCTTAAAAGTTGTTAAGTATGACTTAAAAATGAGAAAGGATTAAAGATGACATAGGAGCAAAGAATAACAAGTATGGATCTCTGAATGCTGCACACTCTGGAAACCAAGACCTCAGTCATTCTGGCGAGCCTGGGACACTGATCTTCTGTGCCAACGACACTAATGAGAAGCATGTGGTCAGTCCCCAACCTCTCCCCCTTCATAGGAACCACCTTATTACCTGCAGGTCATCATAGAGGCTGCCACTCAAGTACATGTCCCGAAGTGGCATGTCAGGCAACTTGGCCCGCAGGAAGCTCCGCAGCTCAGCACATATGTCCACAGCAGCTTGCTTGGCCCGAGCCTGCTCTCCAGCAGGGATGGCTGCCCGGTTCCGGTAGTAAGTAAGAAGTTTCTCCTGCAGGGACATGCGGAGTCGTGACTTCTTCAAGTCTACCTGGCCCTTCCTGGCCAATGGCTTGGGCCGGGGAGGGCAGAATGTATCTGCCAAGGCAAGAGAGAGAGGCACGTGAGCTCTTCCCATGCTTGCTCAGTCCACAGCTGCCTCAGCCCCCAAAGGAGAAGGGCTTGGCACAAAGGGCAAGTGCTGGCACACATGTGCTCAAGAAATGTTTGCTGAATGCAGGAGTAGTGCCAAAAGTCCAGAGGAAGTCCCAGGAGGGTAAACAACAGCCTTTGTTACCTGTGTCAAAGGCCGAGGAGTCTGTGGGAAGGGTCTGAAGGGACCGGCTTAGGCCTGTTTTCATGTCCTTGTTCAGCAGTCGTGGGGAGCCCATCCAGTTTGGTTCTTCCCAGCTCCTCTTCCCTGAATGGCTCAGGCGGGTGGGGCTGGTCGGGGCACTAATTGCCCGGTCGTACATCTGGAATAGCAGAGAGGATGCAGGACATACACTTGCCTGCCTTCCTCTATTTCCTTCCAATTTCCCTCCCCCTTACCCCAAAGCTTTGCCCTAGTAAGTTCAACTACTATTTTGTAATACTTTTGTTTTTATTCTAGATTATTGAATTCTTTGTTCCATGCAGAAAATCTCAGGAAATATAAGAAATAGATTAATCCATGATGTCACAACCCAGAGAAAACTGTTAATATTTGGTATATTTCTTTCTAAAAATATATATTTATGTAATTTGGATCACATTCTATACATACTTTTAAAACCTGATTTTTTTCACTTACCTTCATTCTGATAATTCCCTCCCGTCCCTAGGAATGCATCAACATTTTCTAACTATACTATATTGTACCTATGAATATACCACAATATTGAACATGGATTCATTTATTCAATGGTTACTGAGTGGCTACTATGTGCCAGGCATTGGTCTAGGTGCAAACCAAAGAGACCCAAATCCCTGCCCTCATGGCGTTTTCAGTCTACTAAAGGCTGCAGTCCCCAACCCCCGGGCTGCAGCCCGGTACTGGTCTGTGGCCTGTTAGGAGACACCGAACGTCACTGCCTGAGCTCCGCACCACCACCCCCCGCCACAACACCCCAACCCCAAACCCCAGTCGGTGGAAAAATTATCTTCCATGAAAACAGTCCCAAAAAGGTTGAGGACTGCTATGCTAGGGAGATACAGACATAATTAACAAGATAAATCTAAAGTACACAGATAGAGATAAATGTGAAGAAAAAGTAGGAAAGGGAAATAGGAAGTATATGTGTGGTTGGGTGTTGCCATTTTAAACAAGGTGGTCAAGAAAATATATTTCAGTTATTTGCAATTTTTTACTTGATGGGATGAATTTATTTGTATCTCCCATGATTTCTTTAGGGCAGAGTCCTAGACGTAGACTTACTAAATCAACTTAAGGCCTCACCTAATAATGCCAAGTTGCAAAGTCACACTTCCATTAGCACTATCAATGTCTTGTTCCAGGTGAGCTCCACTTCGTAGAGACTGCCTGACCACATCCCATCCCTGGCCCTGGCTGCATCCACTTACCCGCTTAACCGCCAGTGTGGCGATGCCCAACATGGCCGCTCCACCCACCCCCAGCACCAGCCGGGCATTGGAAAGCACAAAGTCAATGGCTGTGCCAATGCCATTGTCATCCTTCTTGCCTTTGCGCTCACCAGCGCCTGCCATTGCTCACCTGAGAATGAAGACAGAACACAGCCATTACTACTTTGGGACCTCAAGAACTATCCCTCCCCTTTCCTCCCCTATCAGGCCAATCCCCAACAAGTACAGGGCACTCTGTGAGTTCCAGCAACCCAAATCCTCTTGCACTGTGGTGCAGATCTCAATACTGCTCTAACACTGCTAGTGTCGTCTATATCCGGTGTCCTCTACACCAGGAATCACATAAGGAAAAACAAAGTGTCCCAAATGGGAGGATATCGAGACACAGGCTCACTGAGAGTATGTTCCAGTATAAAATAACATTCCTTCTAATACCGTATCACAACTGGGTATTGTACTTTCACATCTCTGCCTCTATCTCCCGACCTCCCCGAAAAAGAAACAAATTATTCCTGACTGTACTTATTCCAGCAATTAAGTTAACCAAGAGTCACTGCCAAGGCCAAAAATATTTTTTCCCCAATTAGAGTTCACTCCTGGGGGACACTTTCCTTTTCTTCACCATTTACAGTCAATAGAAGCTTCAGGTTTAGGGACATAATGAGAGACTATTTGGCCAAATGAAGTATGTTCCTACTTGAAATGCACAGAGCACACAAGGCCAAGAGGAGTTGACCTTTGCATTTACAGGCAGGGTCAGGCAAGAACGCTAGCCATCCTCCCTCCAGGGGCCACTGAGACAGAGATGGGACATATCGAACTCAGCTGAGGTAGAGAACCCAATCAGGAAAAAGGCAGAACACCGCAATTTCTCTACACATAACAATGTCTCCTGTTTTATCTTTTAAAAAGTAAAAAACCTTCCTGATGTATTAACAATAGGGAGAACCCCTGGATGGAAGCGCCCTCTAAATGATCCGTGACTGTGTTGCAGCAGGACTAGAACAGCACATCCTCCCTCCGACCGGAAGCCAGAAGGGGCCTCCATGGGCCATTTAGTCCTTGCCCCTTCTGATGACTGCTAACAAGGTGGTGGTGTAGCATAACAGAAGAGATCATGGGTTTGAGTTGGAATTCCTGAGATTAGGACTTGCCTTACACCCTGACTTATTAGCTGGGTGACATCAAATGAGTTACTTAACACCTCAGCTATAAAAAGGGGATAATGATCCATGCGTGGCCCAAATCATAGGGTTTAGTGATGAAATATGTCAACTAAAATACTGTGTATGAACACTTTATAACTGTAAATGTGTTGCACAAATACGGGCTATCACTAAGTCTTTTAAGATTTCCATCCATAGGACAGAAGGTTAGCTTCCAGAAGGCAGTCAGCAATCTGGAATGTCCTCTGAGTTACATTCCACCTTTTGATTTCTCACTCTGTTGCCCAGACTAGAGTGCAGTGGCATATCGTAGATCACTGCAATCTCAAAGTCCTGGGCTCAAGTGATCCTCCTGCCTCAGCCTCCTGAGTAGCTGGACTACAGGCATGCGACACCATGCCTGGCTAATTTATTTATTTTTTGCAGAGACAGGGTCTTGCTCTGTTGCCCTGGCTGGTCTCACAACTCCTGGCCTCAAGCAATCCTCTTGCTTTGGCTTCCCAAAGTTCTAGGATTATAGGCATGAGCCACTGCACCCAGCCACATTCCAGCTTTTGAGACTAAGCTAAAATGGTCTCATACTGATGCTATCCTGGGCTTGAGATCAAAACTATTAAGTGAGCAGGCTTGTTAAAGGCTTTTCCTATGCTGGTGCAATATGCACCAGGCCACCCACCCCAGTGCAAGGACCAGGTGACATAGATCTGATGACCCGGAAGAGGAGAAATCATCCACAAGCTCAACAAGACACACAGTCCTTATTCTAAAAGTTAATTCAACTTGTTCCAGTTGAAACTGCTTCTCCATGGTACATCCTCCACTCACGTTCTGCTGCGTTATTAGCCTGTGGCCTACTAGGAGGCAAGAACTGCACTTGGCAAGAGACAGGGACCTGGCTCCTTAGGAAAACTGAGAGAGAACACTGTTTTTTGATGGGCATAGAATTTCAGATCTGCAAATGAAAGAACTTGTGGGATCTGTTACACAACAATGTGGATGTACTTAATACTACTGAACTGTATACTTAACACATTGACTGCCACACTAGGAAAAAAATGTTTTCCTTGGGGCCAGTGTTTTATTATGAAAATAGAACAAAAACTTCAAGAACAAAACAATCCTTTCTAATTTAGTGAAAAATTTGTTTTTTTCTGTGTGTGAGTTATATGCAACTTGAAAAATAGTTCACGCAGCTCTCAAGGTGAAGAGATGTGAGTTACATATGCTTCACGAGGCCCCGGACATAAAACTAGCGTGAGTTAAATACAACTCGCATGGCAATTAATGTGTTAAAAATGGTTAAGATCACACCCGTAATCCTAGCATTCTGGGAGGCCAAGGTGGGAAGATTGCTTGAGGTCGGAAGTTCAAGACCAGCCTGAGCAAGAGCAAGACCCCGTCTCTCCTAAAAATAAAAAAAATTAGCTGGTCCTTGTGGCAAGTGCCTGTAGTCCCAGCTACTCCAGAGGCTGAGGCAGGAGGATCACTTGAGCTTAGGAGTTTGAGGTTGCTGTGAGCTAGGCTGACACCACAGGACTCTAGCCTGGGCAACAGAGCAAGACTGTCTCAAAAAAAAAAAAAGGTTAAGATGGCTAAAATAAAAAAACAGGCTGGCTGCAAGTAGCTCATGCCTATAATCCTAGCACTGTGGAAGGCCAAGGCAGGACGACTCCTTGAGGCCAGGAATTCAAGACCAGCCTGAACAACATAAGGAGACCCTGTGTCTACAAAGAATTAAAAAATAAAAAAAATTAGCCAGGCGTGGTGGTGCGCACCTATAGTCCCTGCTACCCAGGAGGCTGAGACAAGAAGATGGCCTGGGCCCAGGAATTTGAGGGTGCACTGAGCTATGATGATGCCACTATACTCCAGCCAGGGCAACAGAGCAAGATCCTATCTCATAACTAGCTAGCTAACTAACTAAATAAGATTTTAAAAAATAAAAAAAATTAGCCAGACATGGTGGCACATACCTGTAGTCCTAGCTACTTGGGAGGCTGAGGTGGGAGGATCCTTTGAGCCCAGAAGTTCAAGGCTACAGTGAGCTAGGATTGTGCTACTGCACTCTAACCCGAAAGACAGAGTAAGATCCTGTCTCTAAAATAAATAAACAAAGGAACTACAGACCTGGAAGGCAGGGCTGGGAATGGAGAATTTGAGCTCTGCCAACATTTCAGGGAAGTTATTTAACCTGTCTCCCGAGATACAAAACTGGGAATAGAAATACTCATTACCTCAATATAGTAAGGATGATGAATAATGCAGGCCTTGTAGCTTCTTAGGATGACAGCACAAAACTATGAAAATTCCAACTTATCTTACCTGAATAAGTCATAGGCTTTTTCATAAACATGTCTTGCTTGAGTACATATGAGAATAGCTAACATATATTGAGTTTGTACTATGTGCTGGGCATTTTACACATATTAATTCCCTTAATCCTCACAACAATCCCAGGAGGTCAGTAATACTATTATCTTCAATTTACAGATGAAGAAACCAAGGCAGAAGTTAAATAACTGGGTCCAAGGTCACTGTGCCATAAGTTGTGCGGCCAGGATTTGAACCCGTAACTCATGCTGCTGGGGAGAACTAATCTATTGGCGTCCCAAGTAGCCTGCAACCCCATCTTGTTTACATCTCCTCTCTATTAACCGCTAGACCATAAGCTTCTTGGAGACATTTTGGCTCATTCACTGCTGTATCTATCCCCAGGGTGTGCAGTGTTTTATGCATAGTAAACATCTGTTGCATGAATGATATTTACTATTAACCCTACAGCATTTTGTTGGGTTTTTTTTTTTAGGGGTGGTGATGGCAACATGTAGCCCAACTCACAGTCAAACAAAGATTAGGAATACAAAGATTCCAAGTAGCTCACTAACTCCCTTCTGGATCCATCCCCTCCCCACCCCACCCCAGCCCTGTGCAAGCCCCATGGGCATCACCCCACATATGGCCCTGTACTGCCAAAGGCAGATCTGCCAACCATAAGTGGCTGAGAAGAACCAAAAGCCATTACATAGGCTCCTCCTCCTGCTTTCCCTGTCCCAGTTCAAAACAGCACCTTCTCGCTGGCTGGCAGGCCTTACCCTGTGGTGTTGGCCTTTCTCCTACTGCCTCAGCCAACTGGGCAGCAAATCCTGCTGTTGTACATTGTATTTGTGTGTGGCCACCCCCACCACCTCAGTCCCTCAATCTCACCTGGCCAGATCTGCTGCCTCTAGCATCTCTCAACAGTGTATTCTCCACAGTGCCACTGGCATGCTCATCCAAGGCACAAACGTAGCTATGTCCTTCCCTGTTTACAAAGCTGTGACGGTCTGCTTACAATCAGATACTACAATCTCCTTAAGTGGGATTCAGTGTCCTTCCAGACCTGGCCCAGCCTCAACTCCAGCCATTTGCCCTACAGGGGTGCCATTCTAGCCACACCAGACTCAAGTTCCCAGACTACAAAATGGAGTTTCTGCTTCCAGGCATTTGCTTATTCTTATACCCCCTTGCCTGGCAAGCTTCTACTTTTCATTTGAGGCAGACCTCAAATGTCTTCTTTTCTATCGCCACCTGTGATCCCCTCCCATGACACTACCCAGGGCAGAGTTCCGTCTTTATCTGTCTCCACAGCTATTTATACAATCCCCTAGTATAGAGCTGCTCATGCTGAAGTTAATTCCTGTTGATCTCCTCATTAGACTGAGTTCTTTGATGAACCATAACATTCACCCCTATCCCAGAGCCGACCAGAATGCCAGGGCCATATAAGGTCCTCTGGGAAGGTTGCTGAATTAAATACAATCATCATGTTACAGTGGGACTTTCTGATGACACTGGCATTGAGAGTAAACAGAGCTAACATACTACTCACCAAGTACCATTCCAAGTGCTGGGTGTGTACTGTCTTATTTAATTCTCATAATAACCTGAAGAGGTATTTCCCTCTTACAGATGAGGAAATGGAGGCCTGGAAGGTTCAGTGACTTGCCTCAAATCCCACAGCTATTATTAGCAGTGCCAGGATTTGAACCCAAGCACTTTAACTCTTAAGTCTGTATACTAGGCTTGCTTTATAGACTGTTGTAACAGAGTATAGCTATGTTTTTGGGAATGTAATCTGACCCACAGTATAACTGAATCCACTGAAGAATAAGTTGGCTTGGAACTGAACTCTAATGGTTTTAATCAATGTCTTCTCTAACATTTTCACATGTAAATTGTCCTGTAATATAAAATGGTGATAGCAATTCTGTTCTGGTAGAGCTTGAAACTCAGGGCCTATTTTTTCTCAGTAGAGAACTCACTTCTGTTAATATATCTGTATTTCATCCATTGATTTCCTTTTCTAGAGAGAAGCCTCTCGAGTAGCTGAGACTACAGATGCATGCCACCATGCCAGCTCTCCATCAATTTCTAATGACTAAAGGAAGGACTTAGATTACCAAAAAGAAAGGTTCTCTCTTTCCTGCTCCCCTGCACCAGAAAAAATTAAACCTATAGGAACAAGAGTCTATGTACCTGAGGCTTCTTAATGCATCTGTAAGGTGGGGATGGAAGAGAGGAGTGTCGGCGGAAGGCACCTTTGTCCTCCTTCCCTTGGAATTAAGGTAGGAGGGGAAATGAGAGGATCCTAAATAATCCCCCCTAGTTTGCTGTGGAGGAAGACCAGGCCCTTCTCCAGCTGCCTTTCCCGGGCCTCAGGATCCTCTAGCTTCTGATTTTTCCGGAACTCACGGCGGATGGAGGAAAGGTAGAAGTCTCGATCAGTGTAGCGAAGCTCTCGGCCCTGGCGCAACAGAGCCCGGTAGAGACTCAGCACCGCCTCTCGGCTCCACGGGGCCATGGGGGACTTGCAGGGGGTGGGCGTCGCGCTATAAACAGACGAGAAGACATAGAAGCCTAGTATCAGAATCAATGACAGAAGGGCCTGTAGACTATGTAGGTCAGGGGTTCTTAATCCAAGTTTCAGAGACCCCCCCCACAAGGTAACACTATGACTTAGTGGCAGGGCTAGAACTAGACCCCAGCCTTCAGATACCCCCTGCTGGGAAAGTACAGGTTATGAGTCACCAGAGCTCATAAGATCATCAAAGCATCAGCTTGCTCATTTATAAAATGGAGATAATGATGACATTATGGTAACAGTACCTACCACATAGGGCGATTTTGAGAATTGTGTGTGTAAAGCATCTAGAATAAAACTCTACGACAAGGGGTGGTCTAGAGTGGTTCAAGAGAAGGACTCGGCTATACTCAAATCCTAGCACCACCATTTAGGAGCTGCATTACCTTGGGTAAGTTTCCTAACCTCTCTGTGCTTGTCTCAGTTCCTCTTCTGTAAAGTGAGAATAAATATCTTACTGCCACTGCCTTCCTTCCATAACAATAAACGCTTACACAAGCACAGTGTGTTATCATTTAGAAAATGCTTTGTTATCCATTATTACATTTGAACTGAGACCCTACAAAGTGGCCAGGGTTCATAATAATAGTGAACATTTACTGAGGGCTTACTATACACCATGCATGTTCTAAGCATGTCCCACATAACAACTCATCTCATTCTATCAACAACCCCAGTGTCATCATTATTCCCACTTTAAGTGGAGAAAATGGAATCTCCCAGAGAGAAGTAACTTGTCCACAGGTGAACAACAGTAAAAGGAAGGGCTGGACTCCCAACCCCAACTCTGCCTGTCTCTATAATGCCCGTTACCATTTGCTGGGGCCTTACCATGTGTACAGCACCCTGGGTGCTCCATGAACTTTTCCAGCACGGTGTCTGGCACATAGCAGGAGCTCAAAAATATGCTGAATAATAGAATTTTCACAACGTCCCCATGTCACAGAAAAGATCACCCTCATTTCAGAAATAAAGAAATGATACCGAATGGGGGAGGTATTTGACTAGAAAAAAAGATGTGGACTTTGGGCCCAAAGTCAGCTAGCCATGAACCTCTGGCCTTACTAACTTCCTGCGCAAGCTTGAGCAAGGTCCCGTCCCTGTCCCTTTTTCCTTAACTGTTGAAGCGATCCCCTCGACCCTAAGAGCCTCCCACAGTAGGAGAGATGCAGAAAATCCACAAGAGAAGTGCTTGATAAGATAGAAGGCAACTGTCACAGTGAGGGCTGTTACTACAAGGTCGCTTGGCGAGTGGGTGGCTGAGCCCTCACCAGTCCACACTTTCTTCCCCCACCCTAGGGGGCCGGGCCGAGCCGGCGTACAGAGACCCCGAGACTAGGGTAGGTCGGCTCGGGGACCTGGGAGCGCTCCAGAGGCTGGGCCGGGGCGAAAACACCGAGGGGCCTCCCAGGGGAAAGCCCAGACCCGGCTGGGACGAGACCCTGGGCGGCAGGCCGGTAGCCTGGGCCACAGCCGGATGGGGGGGCGCCGGCGGCAGCACTGACGAGAAGCGCGGCAACCCCTCGACCGCCTGGCCGCCGCCGGTCCTCACTCCTTCCCTCACTCACCGGCGGGCGCGCGCGCTATCACTCCTGTGGACTCACTTCTCGCCCGGCACCTCTCTCGGGGTCACCCATCAACATGGCCCCTTCACTTCCGGGACACGACCTTGCGTACAGAGCGACGGAGGGGCTGAAGGGAGCTCGAGGGCGGGCGGAGGCGGAAGGACTTCCGGTCTTCCCCTCCTCGCTCTCTCGGGCCCCGCCCCCTCGCGCAGGGCTCTGCCCCACAACCCCGAGCCCCGCCTCCGTGTGTGACGTCAGCTAGGGCCGGGCCTGCCCCCGGAAACCCGCGGTGCTGTGGTCGCGCCGTCTGCACCGCTGTGATCCGAGGGGACAGAGGGTGAGAAAGCAGGAGGTGGCCTAGCCCTCCGACGAGGCTGCGCCGCCGGGCAGGTCCCCCACCTGCTGCCAGTCTCGTGGCTGGTTAGGGGGCCTGGCCCGGCCCTTGCACCGTGTGCTGATCTCGGGCTGGTCTGGGGTCCCGGGGTACCCGAGGGAATCCTGACACCACTGTTCAGAGCTCTTCCAAATCCAGTTTCTCAGATCACCTTTTCATCACTCCCTGCTGTTTCCGCTCTCCAGGCCGCTCTCCCCCCTAGGCAAATTCCTACCCTTCCTTCAAGATGTACCTCAAATGTCCCCCAGCCCAAGTCTTTTCCAGCCCCTCCTCGCCCCTCCTCCGACACACTTAGGCGCCGCCGTCTTTGGGCCCCACAGAAATGTCTGCATGCTATTAACCCGTTCAACAACAAAACGTATTTCTTGGCGCCTGTTGTTTGTCCGGCACTGTTCTTATATTTATCTATGTGCTTCTCTGTCTCTCACTAGATTTGAGGACAGAGACCTTGTCTCTGTGAAATCCGTAAGCTCCTCCCCCAAGTGCCTCCCAGAGCCTGGCTCAGACCAGCCTAGGGCGGGGGCTTTCCTGTCAGGCCACCAGCTCCCAGTTCCAGCCCTACCACGTGGGAGCAGCTGCCCTCTGGCAGTTTTGTAACCTCTCCCAGCCTCTGGGCTGTAGTGAGGATTAAAATGGTGATATCTAGGCTGGCTTGGTGACTCAAGCCTGTAATCCTAGCACTCTGGGAGGGTCACTTGAGGTCAGGAATTGGAGACCAGCCTGAGCAAGAGCAAGATCCCATCTCTACCAAAAATAGAAAAATTAGCCTAAGCAAGAGAGAGACCCTGTCTACCAAAAAATAGAAAAAAATTAGCTGGGGGCTAGTCCCAGCTACTTGGAAGGCTGAAGCAGGAGGATTGCTTGAGCCCAGGAATTCCAGGTTGCAATGAACTGTGATGATGCCACTGCACTCTAACCAGGGTAACAGAATGAGACCCTGTCTCAAAAAAAAAAAGTGGTATCTAAGAGGAAGGGGTTGGGCAGTGGCCTACCCATTCTTTCATTAATGCAACAGCTCCTGGTCGGGGCCTCTAATGTGCTAGGCACAGTGCTGCAGGGAACACAGTGTTTGTCTACTGGGGGCTGATAAGAGGTGATGGGGCCAGGAGGACTAACTCCCTCTGGAGAGGATGTCAGTGTTGCAGGAGGGAGGGGTTACATTCTTTACTTGGATTGTTGCAGGAAGGCCTGTCAGATAAGGGGACAAGGATAAGGCAAGAACATTCCAGGGGAGAATCCCAAGTCCACTCTCAGGTGGGCCTTTAAATTTGACATGTTCTAGGAGCAGCAGGGAAGAGGCCAGTGCTTCTGGAGGTGAGGCCCTATCAGGGCCAGGGGAGGGGAGGGAAGATAGTGTGTGCAAGGGAGCCATAACAGGTTTGGAGTGTCAACGGAAAAAAAGACCAAACTCTGTAAAATAATTTAAAGAGATTTACTCTGAGCCAAATTTGAGGACCGTGACCCGGAGCCACGCCCAAGAGATCTTGAGCAGTAGACTCGCAGAGGTTGGGTTACAGTTTGGTTTTATACATTTCAGGGAGACAGGGGTTACAGGTGAAGTCATAAATCAATATGTGGGAGGCATACATTGGTTTGGCCCGAAAAGGTGAGCCATCTCGAAGCGGGGGGGCTTATAGGTTATAGGTGGATTTAAAGATTCTTTGGCTCGTAATTGGTTAAAGACATGAAGCTTTGTCTAAAGGCTTAGAATGTTTCAACGTAAGGAGCTCTTTATCAGCTACAAGCCACTGGACATAGATTTGTTGTGTAAATTGAGGACCTGCAGGTTTGTCTTGCTACCCTTAGGCCTGTTAATAGGTTACAAAGGATGTCCCCAAGAAGGGAGGGGGCATGATGAGGCATGTCTGACTTCCTTCCTCCTGGCAGGCAATGTAGTTTTAGGATATTCCTTTGGCCACGAGGGGGTCCATTTAGTCAGCTGGTGAGGGGTGAGTCTTAAAATTTTATTTTAGTTCACAGGAGCAAAGGAGCAGTGGGACCTGACTCCATTTTAACAGGATCGGTCTGGCTTGAGAATCACTGAAGGGAGCAGGGAGAGCAGTCAAGAGGCTGTCACAAAACCCCCGGGAAGAAAGGAGAGGGGCTCAGACCAGGGAGGTGACAGTGGAGGGGGAGACATAGTCAGATCTGGAGTGCATTTGGAGGTAGAGTGGCTGGATTTGCAGATGAGGGTTTTGAGAAAGAAGGGTCAATGCTGGCTGCTGGTTTCTGTCTCCGGCTCCCACCTGTTTAGGAGAATGTTCCAGGTTTCCCAGATCACTAGACGAAGGCTGCTTTCCAGGACATGGGGAGTCCCAGCAGCACTGGGGAGACCGAACTGCTGGGGCCTCTGGGGAAAGCTTAGGACTTAGGAGCAATAGTGGCTGTGGACTCTGGGGCCGTGGGAGTCACCCCCAGGGCTGGCTTGGGAACAAGGTTGAAGTTCAGCAATTATCTCCCTGCCACCACTCACAATGAGGCGGCACCAACACCTGGAGTCACTTTGATTAAGCACCTACTGCCAGACATTGGACTTGGTACTTTACAAATGTATTCTGTCTAACCCCAGCATCCCTGTTTGGTCCCAATTTTATAGATGGGAAAAAAACCAAGACAAAGAGATTTCGTAATCTCTCTAAGACACTGAGCGAGGCAGCGGAGGAGTTCACAGTGGAACCCAAGTCTGCCTTACTCTGAAATGTGTGTTCTTGCCACTCTTTCAGACTGCCCTACTTTGCTTTTTAAAGAAATGATTTTGTGACCCAAATAAATCTAATTGGTGACATATCTAGCTGGCAGACCAGGTGACCTTTTCGTATCTCTCCTGAACTTCCTATTCTATAGAGTATTATTTTTAGGAGGTAGGAACAGAGGGAGGGCCTTTGGAGGGGTCTGCCCTTCAGATCAGCCCCCCCAGAATGCCTCTTGCTCTTGGGGGTCTTCTCTCTACTTCCAGACTGACAAGGTCCCTCCCTGCCCCCAATGCTCCCGTGGCAATGGAGGGTGGATAGTGAAATGTCATCTGGCATCCAAAGGTATCCATGGGGACTTTGTAGACCAGAGACCCACAGCAGGGGCACTCGCCCAAATCTCAGGGCTGCACCAGGTTTTGCAGGACAAGAGGCATTCTGAGCTGTCTTGGATTAATGCTGCAGGGTTGCCATAACCCCCTGTTCTCACATCTGGATGATGGCAACAGTCTCTTGTGAGGCTGGAGGGCGAGAGGGGAGCACATGTCCACCCAGAACAGGGACCCACACATAGTGGGCATTTAATTGTTGAAGGGATAAATGAACCTTTTCCAGAAGGACAGAGGTACAGTTTCACCTGTGTCAAGGATGCCAAGTCTGACTAATTTGGGAGGGGCCTATGGGTTGGTGGCGAGCATGGGGCAAGGGAATTAAGCCATGGTTCCCTCGTCTGTGAGTTGGAGACGATGACGACAGGACCACCCCGGAGGGCTGCCGAAGATTAGACCAGAGGGGGCACGTAGGCGTGGCAGCGCGCAGTGAGGGGTGCCTGGCTTTATTATCACATGTTGCCGATCTCGCTTATGCAGGGTGGGCACATGGAAATATAGGCCCACACGCAGACTGTGGAAGCCCGGGACACCAGACCCGGGGCAGGACCTTGGGGGAGTCTCAGGCTGTCAAGGATCTGGGCCCCAGGGGGCTGAGGCGGGATGCTGGGACAAAAACCAACAAAACGTTTTTGCCGACTGACCCGTGGACTGACCCATGGGCACCAACGCTGTTGTTGCCAACGTGTTAACCAAATAATCACTCATTCAGCAGTTACCGAGCACCTGGTAGGAACCGGACTAGAGGCAGGAATGTCGAAATAAGCTGTGCAGTTCCTGTCCCCACACACAGACAGGTGCTGTGGACACACAGAAAAGCCTGTCAGCACAGAAGCTGGGGGTGGGCACCGACTGAGCAGAGCACAAAGGGGGAAGACGGGGTGAGACACCAGCTCGGACACAGAGCAGCCTGGGCCTCGGATACCTGCCTGGCTTGAGGCTGCCCTGAAAGGAGGTGACAGCCAGCAAGGCGTGCTGCAGGCTGTCCCACCTGCACCACTGGTCTGGGATCAGCCTTGGATTTAAACTCCACCACCTGACAACTAGGCGACTTCAGCAAGGTTCTCAATGTCCCTGGGCCTCGATTTCCATGCCGATATGCAAGTAATTAGACCTTGAAATTGGCTCATGCTAACTAAGACAGAAGCAGGTCATGTGGACTGTTTGCAGTGAGAATTCTCAGTGTCGCTGAGGTCTTAGGGAGTTCTCCCGGGCCGGTGCAGGGGCAAGAGAGGTCCAGGCAGAAGACAGGGTTCGGGCCCAATGGAGAACTCAAAGACTGCAGCCCAGAGAATTCAGGAAAGAGAGGCGCGTGAGGACACTGAAGAGGAAGGCAGGGGCCGACCACGCTGGAATCTGCCCCTGCTCCTGACAGCAGTGGGAAGTCCAGGCCACAATCAGACTCGCATCGGGGAAGGGTCAGCCTGGCTGCTTTGTGGGGAGCAGACTGGTGGGCCAAGACCTGCTGGGGATCAGTCCCCAGGCCAGTGAGGTGGTCACCTGAGGCTCTCATCAGCCAGGAGCCAGAGTTAACACTTACAAAGCCCTTCCTGTGTGCCAGCTGATGCACACCAGTTCCCCCAGGCCTCAGCACAGGTCTGTAGGAGAAGAACTGGCATTGCCAGCGGGAAAATGCCACGTCAAGACACACACAGATGCACAGAGGGCGAAGGCCATTTGACGCTGGAGGCG